GTCAATTCTTTTTGGCTTCTTCTATATTTGAAGTATAGATTTTTTATTCAATGTTACTGAATTAGTTTTGTTACGATGCAGAAAATTCCAGTGAATATGATTTGATAACTCAATGAAACGTTTGCATTATTGCCATTGCAGGTTTATCAGCAGAGACTCTTACCGTTGATGATTACCAAGGTCAGTTACTGTTCTTGGACTGTGTGATCAATAAATCTTTTAGATACAGATTATGTGATCTTTTTTTTTTGCTTTTCGATTCGTAGCTCTTATTGACCGAGGCTGGAGAAGATCTGGTTGTTATCTTTACAAACATGAGATGGATAAAACTTGTTGCCCTCCTTATACGATACGTTTGAAAGCTAGTGATTTTGTTCCTTCTAAAGAGCAGCAGCGAGTGTCTAGGAGACTAGAAAGGTGCGTGCGTATTGAATCACTCTTCTCCTTTCTCTTTCTTTATGATTGATAAGATGAAAGTTTCAGAAATGTTAAATAGTTCGTTATTGGCTCTGAGTCATTAAGGTTTCCATTTCGCCCTCGAAAACATCTTATTGCATATGAGGAGAGATCTATGATTCTGATGTGTACTCCATTTATGCGTATTTCTTCTTTAAGATCACCAAACTTCTTCAAACCAGTCGCTTATTTGAAGAGATTCATGTCTTCTTAACTGTTTCTCACAATGATTTGTCAAAGGTTTTTGGATGGCAAACTCGATGTACAGTCCAGGGAACAAACAGAACATAAAGGTGCTTCTTCCTCTGGTGAAGTTTCAGATTCAGTGAGAAAAACACGTGGAACTGCCAAAAGTGTCGAAAAGGATAAAGTTGAGCCTATTATGGATGATTTGTCTAAAAAAATTGATCAAGCTGTGCAAAGATGCATACAGAGTGGGGAATTCCCTTCTAATATGCAGATACCGAAAGCTTCAGTGAAGAAGGTTTTCTGTGCTAAAAGGAAGAAACTAGCCGAAGGACCAGAACAACTCTTGTATACCAGCAACATTGCTTTCCCATTAGCAGCTGCAATACGACGCACTCAGACATCTGAGAAACGGGAGATGAATAATGCTGACAAAAACAGATTATCACCTGAAACTATTTCCGAGATATTGTTGAGTGCGATGAGTAAGATGGGGGAAATTTCAGGTATATCTATTAAGGTCTGTAAGGGCCATATCAATTTCTTTTCAGATTCCAAAGATTCTTTCTCTCACGGAGATGTTGTTGTTCCTAATGGTAACATCTCGAGAGGAGCCAATTCAACAAGTGAAGGCGAAACCCTTCACGGTAAGAAGGATTCAGAAAACCATAAGGCAAGAAAGCTAAAGCTGGAGATACATTTGAAAAGGTCAAGTTTTGATCCTGAAGAACATGCTTTATACAAACGGTATCAGCTGAAAGTGCACAATGATAAGCCGGAGCACGTAAAAGAAAGTTCATACAGAAGGTTTTTGGTCGACTCTCCTTTAATATATGTTCCGTCTTCAGGTAATGAAAAGGTTCCACCTTGTGGCTTCGGCTCGTTCCACCAACAATATAGAGTTGATGGCCGTCTGATTGCTGTCGGGGTTGTAGACATTCTTCCTAAATGTTTGTCAAGTGTATACCTATTCTGGGATCCAGATTATGCATTCTTATCGCTCGGGAAATATTCTGCTATGCAAGAAATTAATTGGGTCAGAGAAAACCAAGCTCATTGCCCTACTCTTCAGTATTACTATCTTGGCTATTATATACATTCTTGCAGCAAGATGAGATATAAAGCAGCATATCGTCCATCCGAGCTTCTATGTCCTCTCCGTTTCCAGTAAGTTTCCACCAAACTGAGACCTAGTTTTGTTACTCCTATGCCTTAAGCTCATCAACTATCTCAAATACATTTCCTGGAAGTGAGAATGGTAAATTTAAAATTTTTAACACTTGGAATTGCGTTTTCAGGTGGGTTTCATTTGAAGTAGCGAGTCCTCAGCTTGATAAAAAGCCATATGTCATATTGTCCGATATCACCAGTTCACAAAATCAAGGTTCTTTACTACCTCTTGCTTCCGAAACTCTCGTGGAATCTACAACAAGTGAACATGAAGACATGGAACAAGGGGAGACGAATGATCATTTTATGGCATGCAG